GAATCATGTTAGTTCATCTTACAGGGATGGTGGTGCACTTTCCTGACAGTCTTTAACAGCTGGTGCTGTGGAAGAAGACTGGAGTCTTTTGTAATCAGGTGTGCGTATCTCCAGATTTGTGTTTTGCGTCTCACTGGCAACATGTGATGAAGAAATACTCATGAAAGGGCCAATGTTCCTGCACAGCAACATTAATGGGAAATTCAGTTCTGGATACAAAGAAGTGCAAGTTCCTTGTGGCAGCTGAGTGGAGAGTTACAATCGGATGCCTAGAAAAGTGAGATGACACTGTCTGATCTGTGCATCCTGGAACTCAGTCAGCACTGTGGTTATAAAACATCTCCGATTGTAATGTCTGCTTTGGCAGACTGGTCATAATGAAGAATTTTAAACTTGGTGTAGAATATAAATCCTGGTAGGAAGGAACTCTCAAGCCAACAGGAATTTAGGTGCTTGAAAACCTTGGTCTTGGTTTAGCCCAATTTTTAGCCAAAGTTTGGATTTGACACTTCTAAGTTCTCAATTAAAAGGTCATCCTCATATCATTAAGAGGTCTAGACTCACCATACCATCAGTCTGTTTTCCAGAAAAGTTACCCCTGTTGGAAGGACAACTGGAAATGTCTAAATGAGATGATAGAAGTGCTGTGACCTGAGCCAAGAGCAATTTTGCTGTCAAGGCAAAAAAAATTTCATTCAGAGAGAAATGTTAGGAAATAGTAGTTTTTTGATAGACAGTTCACAAGATTATATTTGTCAAACTCTGTAGAAAGAGAAGCCAATGGACATTATTTTTACATTTACACCTAAGGCAATTGCATGGATTTATTACTACATCAGGGGCTGCAAGCCTGTGCCTGATTTATTAGCTACTGTCCCTTTTGGTTTCTTAGCCATGGTGGCAAACGAGCTGTAGAATGCTGAAAAAAAGTTGAGCTGCATGTCTTGTCCCTTCAGCCTGTTTCTTGTGTTCATTTTGGTCTATAAACAAACATCTCTCAGGTCTCCTAAATAGATTTTCTGATTGAGTTCCCAGAACAGACCACCACCAGCCTCATTAAATCTTATTTATGTTACTTTCATGCATGAATATAAAATCTCCCATTCACTGCTGATTTTATTTAGTTAGATTCTATGCCTTGTGGTGGACATTGAATTTAAGTGACATTTTTGGCACCAAAAAAGAGTAAATAGTGAGGCTGCAAGGACTAGTTTGACACCTGCATCTTTTGCAGTACAAAAAAGAAAGGATTAACCTGTTCATGGTTATGTGATATTGATTGAGGACGCAATGAAAATACACCTGTAAATATTTGGGAATATTCCCTAGAAGCTGGGGTGTTTTTCAGGGGGTAGGTCATTGAACTGGGACTCTGGAGGTATAGTCTGTTTTCCCAGGGATGCCACCCGCTCCCTGCATGATAGGAAGAGAAAGGTCACTCGTTGTTCCAGGTCTCAGCTCCCAGCTGAGAATGATGCTGTCTCCCTCCTCTCCTTTTCCAGCTTGCTTGTTTATCTCACTAGCTTTTTATCAGAGTAATATCCACTCTGCCTCTGTGCTGAGCACAGTGGGTCCTGCTCTTGGCTGGGGCTTCTAGTCACCACTACAGACACGATTCTCTCTTTGCGCCTGTCTCCTCCCCCTTTGTCCATGCTCCAGTGCTTGTGAGGTAAGATTAACAGCTAAAAAACCTCAAACCAACAATAAAATCAGTGTAAATGAAGAATGAGGAAGGAAAGAGCCAATGTATGTGATAAGTTGTGCAATAGGTTTGAGTAGTGTTTTTCTCCAGCCCTGCTGACTGATGATCTCTCTCTTGTAAAGGTACTGCACTTTGGGACAAGAAGGATCTGAGCCTGTCGTTTAAGTCAGAGGGGTGAACAAAAAGCAGCTTTGCCTCCTTCCTTTGCACTAAGAACATTGTGAATATTCTTAAGCATTGCCACAAGGATTAACATCCCTGAATTTTAATGTGCCTGGTGCTGGAATGTAGCTGAAAAGCAGAGCAGGCAGGAATGGTCTCACTGGGCTGTGGGCTCTGCTAGGAGACTCTTTGAAGCTCTGTTCAATAGCTTTCTATTACTCTTTATATTTTTTCCCTTTTCCATATTTTTCCTCCTCCTTCAACCAATGGTGGGGTTTTTTTTCTTTTTTTTTTTTTTATAAACAGCTAGAAACCATCACAAAACCAGGTAGTCATAGGTCATTATGTCTGCTTGATTGTACATCTAAAAGCAAAGAAATGCCAGATAACTGAGCTGTCTTCTGTCTTGTGTTGTTTTTCTGACAGAAGCACTTTGAAAATGCCATTAAAGAGCTTTTTGATATCCTCAAGGAAGAGTTGGGTAGACACAAGGCTCATGCCCTTAAATCTCCCACAGCCTGATGAAAACTCACTGCCCTTTTTTTTGTCCATTGATTTTACTGGACTTACCATGATTTATATATAATGATCCTTAAACTACGTGGTTTGTAGTCTGTATTTGAAAGCACGCCTGGCTTAGCAGAGTTGCAAATTTGCCTCCAAAATGGCTTTCTTGGATAACAATTTCTCTTATGAACTTGGAAAACAGGTTTCTCTTCTTTCCTGGAGGATTTTCCCAGTGATGGAGCTCAGACACAGGACAAAGATACCAGTTTTGATCTTAGAGTCAGTAATGTGATTTTGCAATCAAAGCTCCCTCTGCCTCTCAGGCTGGTGAAGCCTTGCCTTTGGAGCAGGAGGAATTAGAAGGGTGAGTGACTTAACTTCTCTGTTGTGAGAAGCAAGGAGATAAACTTTTGGAAAAATGCCACTTGGTTGACCACCTATTTAATTTTTTGCATGTTCTATACTAGTTGGCTGTTGAAGTACGAGCTGTTACCTTGAAAAAATTTCTACGTGAAATTTCCTGTTCACAGGAGAGTGCTAGATTTGCACTCAAAAACCAGGGAAACACAGGGAAGTGAGACATCCTTGGAGCTGTCAGAATACTAAGTGAGAGGCTCATTTAATATTACCTGTGGCAGGGCTTGTGCTATTTTCAATATAGGACTGCTATGAAGAGTGATGTTACTTCTTATTTGTTTGGAAAACCTCACTTTACTAAGTTTCATCTGGGGTAAATATCTGGGCATGAATCACCAGATCTGACCAGAATCTCATTTCCAGTCTGACATCAATTATCAAAGCACCTTTGGTAAAATATTACCCCCCGGGAAAATCAAGATGCTCCCATCAAAAAACATCCTATAATATTAAAAGAACCCAACAACAACAGTGTACAGATATAAATACCTGAACAACAGAAGTAAAAGGTAATTATTTTAGTGTGAGTCACCTGACTGACTCTTTGTCTGGCTTAGATCAGAAGTGTTTCTAGATAATGCCAGGGCATTTATTCAATGTTAAAATACTGCTTACAGAAGGGGGATGACACACCATTATTTTCTCTGTGCACAGTTCCTGAGGTTTCTGGAACTCTGATTTTTCTTTAATAATTTCCAGATCTAGATACATTACTGATATCTTCTGTACTAAAATGCCTTTCATTTTGTCTTTTATAGTAGACACACCTTGCCCAGATCTGCTGGCAGTTTATAATCAGAGATGTGAATGTAAAAAAACAATGTCTACATATGCTGGTCATTGTCTTTAAGCAATAAAATGCAATCAAATCCATCTCCAAAGGCCAGGATGTGAGGAACTTCCTCTCAATGAGTATCGTACCAATCCTTTTCCCATCCCATCTGGGGCAGATGGTAGAAGAAAGGCCAGAAAATCATTTAATACAGAGAATCCCTCTCTTTAGCCCTCTGAGCTGCTACTTTCTCAGATAAAGTGTAGTAGATTATCTTTATGTCCATTATCTCCATCCTATATCCTAAGGAAGCTTAAAATTACAGCACTGCAGGAAGAAGAAAATAAAGCAAAATTGTCAGCATCACCACAAAACCTCTGTGGTGATGGAGACAAAATCTACAGTGATCTTACTAAGCAGGTTTCTTCCTATTGCAAAGGTACCTCCTGAAAGCTGTCAACAAAATATCACATTAATAATGTTTTTAGAGATTTCTTTCCCCTTTTAATAACTGATGTGATCTTCCTTTAATAAAACTTTAATCTGGATAAGGCTGCCAGTGGAAAGCTGTGAATTTACAAATATTCAGTACTGTATTTCAAAGTTTCCTGAATGTTTCTTAAACAAGGAAGGAAATGTATATATATGTGGTACAAATATAGTTGTCCTCTGGATAAAAATGCCCTCCTTTCCCTCCACACAAACACCAAAAAACCCCAAAAAAACACCTATCACTTTATTACATCAGTCAGAGTAATCTTTCTCAAACCAATTACTGAGATGTGCTGCAAAAATTAATACACCACTTTCTTCATTTGCTTTCCACTTTGACTGTTGAACACCTGCAAGCCAAATCCCAGAGCTGCAGTGCAGTTTGAGTTCTGAGGGTGTTCACTGACAGCCCTGGGGTCTCACCTGGCCATGGCACATGAGACCAAGCCTGGAACAATGAACTCTGCTCATGAAAGGCCATCAGAGAAGCCCAAGTGAAACTTGGTTGCCCATGTAGAGCTGTAGGACTAAATAGAGAGCAAGAGGACTTGAAATAAATTCAGTGAAAAATGTCAAAGCAGCTTATTGTGGATTTCTTCTTCTTAATTTTCAATCATAATCAAATTTATGACAAGCAAAATTTTGGCTTGTCCTACTGTTGGCCTAGAAAGGGACTGAGAGCAAGAAGATGGGAGAGTTCCCCAAAATTTTGAACACCTTTTGCCCTTATTGTTTTTTCATATGAGAAAAGGAAGAAAATAGGGAAAAGCAAATAAAAAGCCAGTGTTCAAAGATACATTTTGAACTCCCAAAATGTAAACTAGTCACTGAAGTCTGTAATTAGACCCCTTGTGTGCTCAGAAAAACTGGAGCACAGGCAAAGTTACAAAATACCTTGGTTTTTTTTTTTTTTTTTTTTTTTTTTTTTTTTTTTTTTTTTTTTTTTTTTTTTTACATATAAGTTTCCTCGCTGTCCTCTGAGGTTCTTGAACCAGGAAGAATTTCTCTTTTGTTGGCAGTATCTGGTTCTTTGCTGGTTGATCTTTCTGCATTTTTACTATCTGTCATCTCTTTGCCATCTGGTTTGAAGCGTTTCATTATTAAAGCAGAGAGCACTATGTACAAGAGACAGCATCCTGCCCGTAGTCCTGCAATAAGGCCAAGATAGACATTCCTAGGGGAAAAAAGGGACAGAATACATTTATATTAATAAAACTTCCCAATTCTGTATGGAACCAAGTAGGATATAAAGAGCAGTTTGACAAAACCATCTATTCTCAGCCAGGTATTGCTTCACATTTGAAAATAAGAAATAACAGGCAGAAAGCAAATGACCTCATGATATTTAGTCCCAGACAGGCTCTAATCAGCAGAAATGTCTGGAGTGTGCTGCCATTCAGCAGACTCTATTTTAGTGCTGCCAGAAGAGGAGCTGCACCAGCTGGGCCTTTTTGCCTATATTCCCTGTCCTTCCCCAGCTCCTCACTGGCACAGTCAGTGCTCCTGGCCACAGATCCCCAGCCATTTGTGTCCTCCTTCCAAGGGGAATTAGTGAGATTTCTTATACAATAGAAAGCAAATAAATGAGGGATGAGGGAGAGAATCTGCAGAGCTACATGCACCCCACAGTTTTTCAGCACCCCACAAAACCAAAGTGCCATAGACTACAACAAAAGAACTAATTCTCGTGATACCAGCACCCTGAAATTTTAGATGTCAGAGTGTATAAAAATTATTTGGTTTATTTCCTTATTAACGTCTAGTCAGAGTAATGAGCAGTGGTGCTTTTAGACCCTAATCAGACAGCTGGCATGAGGGGAGTCCACCTTGGTCCTTGCTGCCCAGGTTCCCAAACCTCATTAGAGGATTACCTGAATTCTTTTGTGTCGTACACTCGGCAGGATCCCGATCCCCCACAGCTTTTTGTCCCCCATTTCAAGCAGGTCTCGTCTATCAAGGCCCCAAAATAAATAGGGGCTGGGAGTCCCCCTGCAACGAAAATTCTCATTGCATGATCTCTCAAACATGGAGAGCTCATCACTTAATGGCATGTAGAGAAATGAGGAAGTGAATCTGAAGGTTTTTGAATTATGCCTGCTTAGAATGGGACTAAACATCCAGTTCCAGCTTTGAGATGACAAGATTGATGAAAATATTTATGCAAGTACTTAAATGGAGTTGAAAAGATGGATGATTATAGCATAATAATATCCAGCAAGGGAAATGTTAGCAATTCCCTTTAATGGTATTTTTATTAGAATTTTAACTTCCTTTGTTTAAAGAAATAATATAACCAACACTTCTTTTGCAATCCCTGGTGTGGAATTGCATGCCATGACTTATTAATAATTATGTATATTGATGTATATTTTCAGGTCTTGCCATTAAAAGGTGATTAGCGCAGTGCAAAGGGATGAAATTAAGAACTTGCTCCACAGAAACTGGATAATAAGTGTACTATTTATGTAGTACTGAAAGAATTTCTTTTAGACAGACAATGCTGTTTTAATATCATCAGTGTGAGGGAGAGTGTGCAATACTCTGAAGCTAACTGTCTCATGAAAGTAGAAAATTTATTCTCTGCAGTCTTCAGCTAAAATATGGAGATTGGAAAAGAGACACAAATGACTTCTTGGGCTTTTCTGCAAGGCAAAAATTTCAAAATCAGCAAACAAGGGAAGATGAGGCAAGGTTCATTTGAGGCAGGGCAGACTATGTGTCTGAATAATTAAATGTTTATTGCAGATAAACTCAAGAAACAAAATAATAGGTAAAGTACATGGGAGCTTTAAGTGGATAATGGTCAGCAAAAGGGAGGATGGGTGTTAGAGATACACAGACTGATGAAGCTCAGGTAGCTGTGTCCACAATAAAAACAAATAAAAGAAGCTCAATGGTAAATTGAAATTCCCTTCCTTTGCCTAATTTATTTTCAGTGTAGAGAAAATATCTGAAGAGATAATAATAATATATATAAATACATACAGTGTTTATATATTATATATAAGCAATTTCACAGCCCCATTTTCTTTTTCAAATCATATTATGACTTCAGAAAGCTCAAGTCCTCAATATTCATTTTTACTATGTTGTTGTTTGTATTTAGATACAATAAATAATAATAATATGTAAATACCAGGTAATAATAATATGTAAATACCAGGAAATATGTAGTAAGCTCCTCCAAACATTTTGAAATATATAGTCTACTTGCAAAGAGAAATTTTGTAAAATTTCTTTTGTTTTTTTCTCGAGCAAGGGCTACCTTTGTCTACCTCTTTGGCATCTTTGACTACCCACTTGAAAACCACAGAGAAATGAAGTCTTACCTAATATTCTACCACCCAAAGTTTCTATCCCAACAGCAAAGGATTTCAGGTCTGGAGAAACAGATCTGGAAAGGAAACAAAACCAGCGTGTTGAGGAACAGAGAAATGTATCTACAGCCATGCTGAGAACACCTGCACATTCCCCACTGCAGGAGTACTGCAGCCTACCCAGCACAGCCCACTGGAACCCTGACTGAAAACATCCACCAAAGTTAAAGTTCACATGTAGACTCCTTCCACAGAACAACACCCATTGAAATAAATGGAAGAATCTGCAGAAACTTATCTTGAGCCAAAGGAAAACAGGTTGTGAATACTTTTGGGAGATGATGCACAGGGACATGAAAGTGAACCCACCAAAAGATAGTTCAGGTCTGTAAGTTAAGCTCAAGCCTGGCTTTATGAGGGCTGCACTGTGCAGTCATGACCAGAGGGAACAAGGGTGTGCAGTCCTTGTTGATGAAACCACCTCTGCCTCCAGCATTTTACAGAGAGACAGCAAATGTCAGTGACCTGGCTATAAAAACACCTCATTCCTACCAGTGGAAAGCAGCCTGTGTCCATCAGGTGAGCTGGAGAATTGACAAAGCCCAGAGGGACAGGAGGGAGCCTTGCTGTGCCCAGACTCCCCCCTGCACTGGAGTTATACACCAGTACATTGTCTCTTCAGCATCACCATCAAAGGCTTCTCATCACACAAATTAGGGCTCTGAAAACTGACCAGCCAGGTGAGCTTTATACCCAGGTGTGCACTGCATTAGAAATTCTGCAGGAAATCAGCAGCTTAGCTAAGTTATTTAGTCATGTACACTGACCATTGTGATGCACCCATGAGCAGGAGTATAAAGACACTTCCACATGACAAGCACAAAACATTGTCTTTTCTTCTGAACATAAAATAGTGGTGCTGCTTTCCAAGTGAAGGAAGGAAATTAAAAAAAATATTCCTGCTATAATTCTGCTTCAATCAGCTGACCAAAAAAATGGGACTATCAGACTTCTCCCCACACAGAAGATATTGTGAAGCCACAAGGCTTAACAAAGGTACCTGTTTATCTCTGAGTAATGTGAACAGCATTGGCTATGGCTTAGCATTGCATCTTATTTCAAGTCCAACACTCTGGTAAAAACATCCCTATCACAGGAATTGAAACCCAGCATTCAGGATCAGCATAATGCCCCCACTTTCATCACAAAAGTATCTACTCAACATCACATTAGAATTAAATTTCTGGACAGATATTTTGCTCTGCCTCTGAAAAGAGCTGGATTTCAGAGTACAGGCAAATAAATCCTCAGGGATACAATTTGATCCACATGCCATTCCTCACAGGAGAAATGAAATAGTAGATATAATTTTCTGTTTCTCTTTTCCCAAGCTTTATGGTCAAGGTAAGGTAAAGTATTTCACCTAAACATAATCATGTATGTAGGAGTGCCTCCTAAGGCTAAAATAAATGCACATGCAGTCTGTAATGCTAAAAAATAGGGAAAGGCTTTGGTACAGCTTTCTCTTTGGCATTGTCCCAGAACTGCAGAGGAATTGCCAAGCCCGAGCCCTTGTCCTTCCACACAGCTGCAATTGTGAAACACCTGAAAGGAGAAGATGAGAGGAAGAATTTATTTATATAGAATTCAGCATGAATAAACAACCATTTCATCAGTTAGATTTTTCACTCCCCATACCAGCCAGGCTGTCGTTGATGCTGAAAACACTTCTGTAATCGTGTCTGCAGACTGATGCCCAGGTCACTGATATGCTCCAGCCTGAGTTGTTTTAGAGACACAAAGCACCTGGAGTTCTAGTTTCAGCCGTGCCACTGCTACAACAGACTCTGTGTGTGTTTAAAATGGAGCCAAGCTACGAAAATCAGACCTTAAGTGCTCTCCAGCCATTCTGCTCAGGTATCCCATGAAGAAGATGCATAACAACAACAACAAGAAATAACAGAGGTGTGGAACAAATATCATGCATGTAGGTCATTATGTGCTTAAAAAGCATTTGGATTGATAATGGACTTTGAAGTTAGCAGGACACACGGCTTTGAAGACCAATTTTCCTAAAGTGAAGCCAGATAATATTGATGGGATGTTTAAATACAAGCCTGGTAATGCTGCTTGTCCTTTTCACTATTGTCAATGAAGACAATTCTGTTTCTGTCAGAGGACAGAAGCATTTGCACACTCTTCTGCAAACATGATGTTTTCAACAGTCTTGCTCAGGTAGGATTATTTGAAGTCCAGGAAATGGCTTTGCTGCTGCTAAAAATGTCTTCCCTATATATAATCTGAAGCTGCCTTCTTGTAACTTAAAACCATTGTTCCTAGTCCTGCTGCAGAGTCATCTATCCCCTGGATACTTACCATATTCCTTCCTGTCCCAGATGATGATTTACACCCTGCAAAGCAGGCTGTCATGTATGTGATCCCATTATCCCCACAGACAGGGTCCCACTGGTCCACCTTGCAGCTGCACTCAGCGTTGCAGCTGGCCATGTAAATGTGCTTGCTGGAGGAAAGGTGCTTCATTCTGGAGGACAAGAGGAAGAAATTAGGGAATTATTTAGTGGAACTTTATAGTAAAAAAAAATAAAAATTAGGGAGTAGGCAGGAAAAACATGGAGAAAGTGAAGCAATCAAAATGTACAGATATCTGCACTGTGAAGTTGTCATACAGACACCAAGGGGATTTCAGCTAAAGCAAAGCTCTCTTGGGATTTTTCATCAACCATTAACATTTCTATGGATTGTCATTGAAAAGGCACGGAAATGAAAAGGCTGGGTGGGAATATGTGGTATTAATTTTGCATTTTGAAAGCTGACCCCAAGAAAAAGAAAATCATATCTAGAATCTAGAAGAATAGAATAGAATAGAATAGAATAGAATAGAATAGAATAGAATAGAATAGAATAGAATCATACCTAGAATTATCACAGAGACATAGCCCAAGTAAAAACCATAATTTCCCAGCAGTGGATATCATAGATATCATACCATATACAGGTGATAGAGGTAGGGTGTAAAAGTAAAAAAAGTACATAAATCTAAAACAGTACTTGACTTTTTTTTCACTAGTCCAGTTCACTGTATCAGGACGCTCTGAGCACATGTTAGCAGTGCTCAGTTTCCAGAAAGTGTTAGGAGCCCACCAGCTACAAATCATCTTTGCTGTGAAGTCAAATGTAAGATAAAAATGTTCAAAACTTGCCTTTTCTTCCTTCCCTCAGCCAAAAGCCATATTATGTGGGCTACATTTCCCCCAAGTCTCTTAGAAGGGAAGATAACTGAGGGATTTAGCCCTCATTAGGCTGTTGCTTGTCTTCAAAATAGAAATTGTTTAAGAGGTAAAACACTAAATGGGTCACTTAACCAGAAACAACCCTGGCATGTGCCAAAATCCTCCAGATTCAATTCTCTTGGAGAAACTGTAAATGCTCTTTCAATATATGCTTTCTTGCTGTTTATACTTATTTTTAATTCCCTCTGTGGTATCAGATGTAGGGTTATCTCCACTGCACAAACCTCTGAAATATTTTCATGGCAAAAACTAAGCTCAAAGTTGAACTGGACATCAGGTTCACCAAGATAACTCAGATATTTCCCTGAGCGTAGGCTCGGTTTCAAAAAACACAGGGCTGAGTTTCTGTCTGAACTAAAATTGCAGCAAATCCTGCTGGGTTCAGTTTAATCCTTTAAAATCCTTTGAAATTTGGACCAGACCAAGCTAAAGCTAAATTTATACAATGGTGGCAGGCTGCTGGAGTCTGGAAAAGGCTCTCAAGGAAGGTCCTGGGAGGGGAGAGGGGAACCTCTGCAACACAGTCCAGCATCATTTTCACCTTCCAGGTGAGAGAAATGGCTCAGAGGCAACTCCAGGTACCACGGGGCTGGTAATCCCCCATGGGGGCTCATAGCTACTGATCTAGTGATGGAGGAAGTGCCTATGGGGAAGATATTTCCAACACTTCTTCTGCATCCTACTCCCCATGAAACAGAAATAAAGGCTAGCTTTAAATTAAAGCTTTGAAAGAGAATATAGAAATTGAATTTCACTGTAATAAATGTCATCTTTTTTTAGCAACTTGCCAGAATATATAGGTATATTGTCAGAAACAGAGAATTTAGGGAAAAGAAATGTCTAGTTTAAATAAATTCAGACAATAAAATTGGAATATTTCCCCATCCCCAGCTTTAGGTATGATATCAGACTGACAATTCTGTCCCAAAACCCAGGATTTTCTTCTGTGCATCACCCCCGAAGAAGCAGCTGTGACAAATGACTTAAGCACTCTGTAGCAATGTATCTGAACAACTTAGGTTTCAGAGTGCACCAGCTATACCACTTGTAACTGTTCTCATCTGAATTTTCTCAGAGCACTGTGGAATTCACCAAAGTCACTAAAACATGAACTATGCTAAAATAAGAACAAAGAAGCTGAGAAACCAAATACCAAAATCACAAGAACTAAATAAGAAAAAAAAAACTATGGAACACCTAAACTGTAACCAATCACAAATGCTTAGAAATGAAAAAAGGAAAACAAAAACAAGAACAAACCAAACCAAACAAACAAAAAAACCCCAAAAAACCCCAAAAGCACCAATTAAAAATTATATACTTAAAAGTTTATAAAATGTATAAAAATATATATAATATAAACAGTAAACAGCTTCTACTTAATCCTATTAATCAATTATACAAGAGTTCTACATTTCCCATAATACCTTAAATTAAAGCTTTGAAAGAAAATAAATAACTTTAATTTGCCTGTAAAAAATGTCATCTTTTTATAGCAGTTTCCTGGAATATATAAGTATATTGTCAGAAAGAGAGAATTTAGGAAAAAGAGAATTTAGGAAAAAGAAATGTTCAGAAAATTAAAAGAAATTTTAAACAAATTTGGAAAATAAAAATTGAATATTTTCCCCATCCCCAGCTTTAGGTATGATATCAGACTGACAATTCTGTCTCAAACCCAAGGATTTTTTCTGTGCATCACCCCCAAAGAAGCAGCTGTGACAAAAGGAGGGGGTACAAACCCAGAGTAGGGCGCTGTCAGACCGGCCACCTGCAGCACCTCGCAGCTGCACGTGAAGTACAAGAGGTTGAGCAAATACGCCACTATAAAGGTGATGCATGCAAACTTGGCCATTTCAGTTATGTGAAGCTTGAATTTCTTGATCAGGAAGCCTCCTAGAAACATGCCCAGGATTGTGACAGGTAGAAGTATCACACCTGAAAATAGATGGTAAGGAAAAATGTTAACTGCTCTCACTTGCATTGGTTCTTTTAGAACAAATTTCTGGTTCTAATGTTTTCAAAATATCAGATACCTGATATTTTTGGGCTGATTCTTTGGGGTTCTAAGATTTATCTAGTAAATTCTTCTAGTAATTTCACAGCCCCATTTTCTTTTTCAAACCATATTATGACTTCAGAAAGCTCAAGTCCTCGATATTCATTTTTACTATATTGTTGTTTGTATTTTGATACAATAAAACCTGTACAGGTGCCTGTTAGAAACTGGAATAAATTATAATGTCTTAGCTCATACACACTTCATATACAATAAAACATAAAACTTCATGAAAGCTACAAAAAATCTCCGAAATGGAATATAAAAGGAAGTTGCATCTGGTTCTACACTGGATTCCATTTTGATCTGAGAGTGAATAATGAGATGATTTGCATTTAGATTTAATCTGATCAGTATTTCACAAACACCAGCCCTTACTTATACTTGCTGAACAGAGAGCTTTGACAAGGTTTTATTGGCAGAGGTTTGCCTTTCTCTAGTTTCTACAGTTGGTTGTTTTTTTGATCATTTCTCTAAAATTTCCCATCATTCAGGAAAAAAAAAAAATAGGAAAAAGAAAGTTCTTCCCACATTTGTAACTGACTAAGGCATTGTGTCTTCAGATCAAAGTAATGCAATATCAGTTCTGCAATGACCTCACATAGCCTGGTTTTCCTTCCAGATTATGAGACCATATCAATCACTGTAAGATTAATATAATTTCAGTATTCTTTTTTTTTTTGTAGAACACTACAAAGTACTTAGTTTTGAAGGAACTGGTAAATAGGAAAACAGCTTTGAAATTAATGGAGTGGCTCAAACTTTTATATTTTGGTTTCTTATTGCTTATAAAATTTGGATTTGTAATCAAAAGGAAAGAAGATTTATACCAATATGTTACTCTGAAAGGAAAAAAATTCACACATTTCATTAAACATTTTTAATTTATTTTCTATTAGTTTTTACTTAGTTGCAGTTGATGTCTGATGTGTGGGTTTTACTCATGAAAACAGACACAGCCCAAATCTCACTATGAAAAAAACTTCCACCCAGTTTTAATAATCCTCTAACTCACTGAATTAGGAGCACTAGGAAAATTAACACTAAAATTAACATCCATTTGCAAAGTACAGTAAGAAAATTAGGAAACCACTACATGCTTTCTTTTTAACCAAAAAAAAGTTCACCTAAGCTTCTTCTAAAACAGAAGGCAAAATAACAAAAAAAACCCTTCCTTTTTGACACTGGAATTCGAAAAGAAGTCAGGTACCCACCAATTAAAAAGATGGCTTTTGCCACTGATACATTAAATTGCTGCTCCATAAACTTTGTCTCATAGGTTATTATCCCAACAAGGGAATTGTACTGCAGAATAGTCAGGAAGATGAACACCGCAAAAACTGGATTTCCAAACAGCTTTTTGAGTGCTGGGAAGAAATCTGCAATGGAGAGGTAAATACTGTACACCCTGCTAAACACGGAGAAGAGTTGTTTTGGCATCCTTTAGACAGGGAAATTAACTTTGATTTAATTGCTGGCTGCGTTGCAGGTGATAATTCTGTGCTTATCACAACCCATGATTGCTCAGGCAAGAGTTCTCATTGCCAGCACATGCCTCACAGGAGGAGCAGGGCCAAAGAGCACAGTGGGTGCTGAGCTGGGAATCAGGGATCCTGGATTACCTTGTGTGGCACAGGGCTCCTCAGGCTCACAACACATCTCCTCAATGCCTGCACACAGCAGCAAGACCCTCCACCAAGAGTAAAAGGTGGTTCCTAAAGCAGGAGCCATTACCAAGCACACAAGAACCCCACAAGAGGGTGATGTTTAGAGAACAGAAGCACCTGGCCCCAAAAAAGGCTGGAGTAATTCCTGGAACCCTTGGTTAGAATATTAAAATTCCTTAAAATAAAGTGAACATGAGCTGGTAGTCTGGCTCTTGGCACAGCTGCCTAAAAGGTGAGAGTTCAAAACACATCTGCTATAGGTGTGCACGTACATACAAACAAAACCTTGGGTCTAACAATTAAAATATAAAAATAAAAGCAATGGCTGGTTGGATCTGGTGTTTCCTATATGAGATGAATTCAGCATCCCTGAGCTCATACACAGGAGCTACAAATCCAGTGGAGTCCCTCCAACATCTAAGGTAGTCATAATGAGCTCCATAATGAGTTTCCCAAACATTTGTCTCAGTTTCCTTGCTGAACACTTGCCCACTATGGACTGGTCATTTATGAGGATGTTTTCCCCACACTCTCTTCATAACCATGGGATTGTAGCTGTAATACATCACCTCGAACTGAGGATCTCTGGTGCTCAGAGATTTTTTTTTCCAGCTGACATTGGAGAGAACTGAAACTTGCCCTTAGCATGTAATTATAGTAACACAAATTAAAGACATTTTTGTCAATAGTTTGCACTGCAGAAACATGCATTTTGCTGAAGGTTGTGTGAGTCCATGCTCTGCTCACAATGAATCCATGAGACAGAATTCATAGGCAGACATTTGGGCAATAATATTTCACCTTTTGCTGCCTCTGAGAACTTCAGCTGTGGCTGAGCTGGTGGGTCTATTTTACAGGGATCTCCTTGAACAGACAAGTGACCAATCTTCAAGTTTTCATTCTCTCCTTCTTTTGGTAAGGAATAGGGCAAAAACCAGAAAGGCAATGAAGCAATGAAGTTGACTGCTCCACAGATAATCAATCCAAGCCACCAGGCACCAACCCAACGGATGTCTTTAGGATTTATGCTGATGGCGTCTATAAAATACAGAAAGACAGTAAAAAAGGGCAAATATTATGCAGAGCAATTATTAGACATTACTGTATATCCTCATATAAATAATTTAAAAGCCAGAACAGAGGTGATCTATGTCCCCTATGAAGAATTCAAATGCAGCTTGTTTCAAATTATAGAATCAAAGAATAGTTTATGCTGGAAGAGACCTTTAAGATCATTTCACTCCAACTCCCCCTGCCATGGGCAGGGACACCTTCTACTACCCCAGGTTGCTCAGAGCCCCATCCAGCCTGGCCTTGGACACTTCCAGGGATGGGGCAGCCACAGCTTCTCTGGGTAAGTTGTGAATGACCCATCCCTGAAGGGAATCACTCCCATCCAGTCAAAAATAAATGTGTCCTTTTAGGCCCATGGTGGCATTTCCTCACCACAATCCTCCCATAATCTCTGGGGGAATGAGCAAAAGAACCCTTTACCACAAACAAAAACAAACAAACAAACAAACCAAAAAAAAAAAACAAAAAAAAAAAAACCAAACCCAAACCAAAACAAAAAACCACCAAACAACTCAAACAGCTCTTGACCATTTCTTTTGAAGGAGTGAACTCATACCAAAGTTATGCTATTGTTGTGCAAGAGCCACTAGCTGGGTATTTCTCCTTTATTCCCCTTTACTCCTATTGCAGATTNAAAAAAAAACAACAACAACAAAAAAAAACCCCAAAAAAACCCCCAAAACCTTTCCTTTCTCAATTTCCTCAATTTCCCTCCTTCTCCATCCCCAAAACTCTACAGTTTTTCCCCAGATTTCCTCAAGTTTTCCCTGGGATTAGAGACTTTTAAGTGATTTGAACCACAACATGAATTTTGAGATGAATCTTTTCTAGGTGCTTTTTACGAGATCATACTTTTGCCAAGTGTTGAAAGTGTCCATGAGCCTTTCCCTGTTCCCTCAACATTGGATGCCTTTTATTCAACCAATCATTTATTCTCAGCTGCACAGCAAGGGTGTAACAAGTGTGTGTGCAAGCATAAAAATAAAAAAGAACAGTGGAGGTTTTTTCAAGGGCTAGTCCAACCATGCTACTGTGGCATTCACATTCTCTGGACAGAGAGACATAATTCTGTCTCTCAGGAGAAGCACAGAGAGAAGAAAACAATCTTTATCTCTGCTCCTTTGTTTTTCCCATGTAGAATTTAGTATGGAGATTGTTTACCTGAAGTAATATTGCTTGATTAAATTCTAGTAAAGGATGTTTGGGTTCAATGATCAATCAGCTCCAACTGTATCTCAGACTCTCAGCAGGCAGTCACAAGTTTGTTAGCTAATTAATAGATAAGTAAGTAAAAAGTATATATGTAAAATAAGATAATCTCTCTTTAAATACTATATAATGTAATATAGTATAATTTTAATAAAGCTATCCTTCAACCTTCTGATCTAGAACCAGACATCATCATTTTTCCTCATCAGTGTTACCTTATTTACTATATGCTACAACACTTGATTTTAAAACATCAGTTTTTGAGCAGGAAAAGCTCTCCAGAGAACCCCTGTTTTTGGGGCAGTGAGCTGGGAAGGTGCTTCTTGGCGTGGAGGTTCCTACACCTAGACACCTTCTGGCTTGATGTGCCACCCCGTGGTGGTGGCCACTGGTGCCTCACCGATGTCCACAACGCCGACGTCAACCCAGAGGCTGGCGCAGAAGGAGCCCAGCAGGAAGCCCAGCGTTGGCCCAAACATGCCCGAGGATCTCACCAGGCCTGCAGGAGAAGGGAGACTGAGCAAAAAATCTGCATGGATGAGACAAGCCTTCCTCTCTGAGGGCAAGAAAATGACAGAGGAAGGAGCAGGCCGATAGGGAATGTCCTGAGGTGCAAGCTGCCCCAACCATAGCTCTGGTGGAGATCAGAAACTGGGATGCCCCAAGAGCAAATTAATAAATTGTGAAGGCTACCACAAACACAGAAACCCACACTGCATTTTGCTGACCTGATGTGTAAATAAAGCATGATTTGATTTTGGTTACCACTAATGGCAATCAACATAAAATAAAATATATTCTAAATAATTCAAGCATAGGTTCTCACCTTCCCTCGCCAATTTGTGCTGTTCTGTTGAAATTTAGTTGTGAGTAGATAATGGGACCAAACTACAACTCAGTAATTTGGGTTCCTGAATTTTAGTGCAGAACTGACACCTTGAATTTGCAGAAGAATTCATTCCACTAGAAAAGAAGGAATTCTTTACCAAATGCCTCTAAGTTCATGCCCACAACCAGCACTGTGCTCTGTGAATCCTATTGAATCCTATTGAATCCTGTTCTACTGCAGGGACTTTCAACCTGAGAGAGTTAGTTTTGCAAACTCTCTTCTGAATGTAGTGATTGCTCAGTTTATCATCTAGAACTTCTGTAATAAACTGTTAAAACTTAATAAATATGCTAAATTTTCTGTTCCTTCCCATGGCTAGTCTGGCATTATTGCTGTCACCAAAACTGTACCAAAATTATTTTAGTTCATTCTATTAAGAAAATGCTGTCTCTGCCTCAAAATAACTTATGTTCTTACTCAACAAAACATTAAAGGACAAGGGAAAAAGGAGAGACAAAGCTGAGACTTCTTGCTCAGGGTAAAACAACAAGATTAATGCTCAAAATTCAACAGCAAGGCTTGACTGACTTTTTTATTATAGAAAATTTTTTTTTTGTTCTTTGTATTTTACAGGAACACTGATTACAAATTGATTCAGTCAGATAATGAAAAATAAGATATAGAAAATAATTAAAGTTAACCAAGGAAAGAAAGTTCTGTTCTGTGGAAAAGACTGTTTCAACTTTCACTTTTTTTACAAAGTGGTTCAGTCCACCAAAATGGAATAAGTGACTGAAAACTGCTTTTCTGAATGCAAAAATGAAATATTTTAATAAACTGAAAACTAAATACTTTATTTCTCTAGTGTAAATTAATTTCCATTTTGGTTGAATCCATATTTACTTTATCTTTTTGATCTTATTTGCCTAGTAGTCCCCAGTCTGTCTCAATCTCTCCCAGATTAAATTCTGACAAGAAAAAATTCAGCTAAACTTTTAAAAATACCTTTAATCAGAAGCTCAGAAGTGATTACAAATATTTTGGATAACTGTTGAGTGGAATGCTTGTTTTTGACAGCTAACTCCACAAGACTACCATTTTCTTCAACCTGCAGATTTCCTCATTCCCAAATAAAGACATTGGCTATGGCCTTATGCTGTAGCACTACATGCTGAGCTCTTCCTGAAACTGTGTCTTACTGTCTGTCTGACCAGCTCAGCTTCACCAAACTGACTTCAGGCCACACAAACACCCCATGCTACCAAATCAGTTTGTCAACAAATTAATTAGCTTGGGTGTAAGTCTCTCTGTCTTGGGCAATAGGTTATGTGCCGTCAAAACAAGTTCAAAACCCCAATTAGAAAGGATTTGTTACAACACACTGGCAAGGTGTTGTTTTCCTTCAGCAAAGAGGGACTTTAAAAAGCTTTCAACAGGAAGTGTGCTGGATGTGAAATAGAAAAAGTCATGTAAGAGCTCCTGAAACACATTCACATTGCTGTAATTAATTGAGACTTCATTACAGATCCTCACATTCCCTTATTTGTGACATAGTGATTAGGAAGAATTTGATTCTCTGAAGATGTGGCACTGAAGTTGATATGCCAGATAAGACAGATGTAACTTTGCACTTTGGGGAAATGAATATTTCATTATGCTTCTCTTCATCACAGAAGCTCCTCAGGGAAAGCAAAAAGACTATCCTGGAGTTATCCCTAGAAAATAAATACAAGACCTCTCTGGCACTGCTTGGGTGTTTGTTTTTTTTTTTTTTTTGTCTCTGTACAGCTCAAAGTTACCCAGATATATTTTTCTGTTGAGTACTTGCTTGACTATTGATATGTTAAAGAACAGAATGTCTAGCATAAAAATGGCTCATTTGTACATTACCTATGTAAAATGCCGAGTTTTCTTCTTTAGAAAAATCATCAATATATGAAACTCCCAGAGGCATAATTGGTGCTTCCCCAATTCCACGTAGAAGGTTCCCCACCAACACAAAAAGCCACAGATAGGAATTTGTTGTTTTCTCACATCCTGCAGACCGTAAACATTTGTCCTTCTGTGAGCATAATTCTGACAATGCTTTACAGCAGCAGTAAAATAACATTAAATATAGGAATTAACAATCATTATAGGGTAGGTTTGTATTTATCATGGTTTCTAGCAGGGGTTTACTGCTTTCCACTAAAAAAGGGTGTCCAACAGGCACAAGCAGAAGAGAATCCAGCATCAGAGTTTTATCTTACCAGCATTTATCACTGTACTGCGTGTTTCTGTAGCATCTGTGGCTGGAGGGCCCTCAGCCCCTGGGGAGCAAGCTGACACACTCGTGGAGTTGTCCACACTAACAGTTATCCTTTCATAATTGTAACTGGAAAACAACTGTGTGAAATACAACTGACACATGAAGGACTTTGCTTTGCAGGAAGAATGTCTGAGCCCTGTGCTCACAAGTGTTCATTCCTGTCTCACACACACAAAGTGGAGGGGAGGCCCATTCCCAGTGCTTTGCTTAAAAAAAAATGGGTATCATCTTCATACCATTTTCAAATGCTCCGGTGATTCTAATCCCAATATTTTTCCTGAGCTAAAGAGCAACAAATCCACTTCCAGAGATCAGTCTTTAGACTGCAGGACAGAGACAGAATTCATCCACATCTGCCTACATACAACAGGGCTGATGCTTTTCCATAATGGCACCTCTTTCTTACCTTTGTAGCAGATGCAAACATGCCAAAGGTTTGGAAGGATATGACCTGTGTCTGACAATTATGTGTTATAGCTTAAATGTGAATGGGGTATTTAGATATTTAATTTCCCCAAGTATAGATTAAAATCTTCAGCATTTTGAAGTGCTTGACATGAGTAGCCACCATGGAGAAAAAAAAACTTTTCCATCAAGATCTAATTACACAGTTCACTTAAACATAAAAAAGGGAACATATTTTAAATATATATATTTATATGTATCTGTTTTTATGTATATCCATCCCAGATGAAAAATTCAACCCACTTTATCCTCTAGTTATAAGATCTGTAGAAATCTGAGGTTTCTCTCCTGCAGCAAGAGGTAAGCTTTCTGAGTGGAAATCACAAAGCCAATATTAAAAAGCAGCCCATTTTCCTGTTGGAATAGCTGGAAGAAACTACTACTGCCAGGCTTTTAACTCAGATGCATGCTTTAAAAACCACTTTGTATGATCAGGTTCAATGAGTGCATAACATGAATAGTCTCCATATTTACCGTCCCATTAGGAACTGAGGCATCACTGACAAAAAAGCTCCTACAGCCATGATGAGACACCCAACAGCAATTATTTTTGGCCTATGAACTCTTGGTCCAAGGTAGCTGACCAGCACCATCACCATTAAGTTACCTGCATCAACAGGAGAGAGAGCAAGCACAAAATACAGATTTCTTTTTGGAGTGAAAGTTACTGAGAATAACTTAACCGCTTTCAAAGAACACATACCTATCTCAAAGCTGCCATCAATAATGCCAACAATCGATGATGAGATTTCAAATCTCCTTTCAATTTGACTGGACATGCTCTTCATGTAGCTTCCAGAAAATCCTTTGGCAAAAAAGGAAAAAGCTAGAGCTCCAAGAAATATCTGAAGAGAGAAAATAATTGAGTTTGCAAAATAACGATTTTTGCTTTATGGCTGGATGCCTGAGCAACCCACTCAAGAAGCACAAAAATCATATGCTTTGCTTTCTAATTCTCTGTGAGGAGAATCTTCCTACTATTATCATTAAAACAGATTTTACATTCTTTTTCAGGGTGGCATCAAAATCTCTGCTACTTCAAAGAGGAGGAAGACTGACTTAAATGTTATGCACCTTCTAACTGTCTAATACATATTGGTTCAGCTGTTTCCTTCCTCGGGAAAACTTGCAGCATAATGTTGCTTATTTCTGGTACTTATATAATGTACTAATATCTGGTACTTATATCTTATTACCTCTCCTTCTCCTGTTCTAAAACACATAAATAAAAAAATAAAAAGATATATCTTCAACTGGCACTGTGACTATAGCATGCCTCTAAATAAACTGGTAGCAAAATATGACCTCATTTTTTAACTTCTGAGCACATTTAACTTCTGTGTGCTTGGAATCACAACCATAGAATAAGAATGGTTTGGGTTGGAAGGGACCTTAAAGATTATCTTGTCCCACCCCCCGCCATGGGCAGAGATATCTTTCACTAGCCCAGGTTGCTCAGAGCTCCATCCAACCTGGCCTTGGACACTTCCAGGGATGGGACATCCACAGATTCTGTGGGCAGCCTGTGCCAAGGCATCACCACCCTCACAAAGAAGAATTTCTTCCTAATATCCAGTCTAAACCTACTCTCTGTCAGTTTGAAGCCATTCCCCCTTTTCCTGCCACTCCAGGCCCTTGTCAATATTCTCTCTTCATCTTTCTTGCTGGCTGCTTCAGGTATTTGAAGGTCACAAGGTCACCCCTTGGTCACCCCTTGGGTATGAGCCTTCTCTTCTCCAGTCCCAATTTTCTAGCCTTTCCTCACAGCAGAGCTGCTCCATCCCTCTGTGTCCCTCCTCTGGGCTGGCTCCAGCAGCTCCCAGTCCTTCCTGTGCTGGGACCCCAGGGCTGGAGGCAGCCCTGCAGGTGGAGTTTCAGCAGAGCAGGGCAGAGGGGCAGAATCCCCTCCCTCCCCTGCTGCCCAAATCCCTCCCATCCCCCTATGGATGCATCCCAGATCATTTTTCCTACCACATATAGTACCAAACAGTACTAACTGAATTTTGATAGGGCTTCAAATGGCAATTAAGAGTTCCAGAGAAAATATGTGGTGAGGGCTATTCCATACCTTTAGCTTTGAACAATTATGGCACACAGTCTTGGCAGGAGCTGAACTGCCATCACTGTCCTGGAACATTGATTTCTCTTTAAGCTGGCCAGCAGCCATTGGTCTGTCCATGGTTTTCCTTCTGCAGGTCTGAAATGTTTCCTGTTCGAAAAATATTGCTACGTTTAACTATTATTGGCATAAGAATTGCACATTCCAACGTTTTTCAGACATATTCAGTGGTGAGAGACTTCCTGAGATACTGCACATTGATATCTTTTCTCAGGAAGGACATTAAAGAGTGCTCAAAGTAACTACTGCAACTAGTTAAGGACTGGTGGACCTGATTTGACACATCTGCTTTCTAAAAGGCTCCAGGACTTTCTTGGACAGATGGAAAAGTTATAGATAACTCTCTGAAGATTTTTAGACATCTCTGTGGAAAAGGAAAGTCCCCAGGCAGTTGGAGGCTGGGACAGTTTGTCAGAAAAACACCTTCACCACACTTGAGCCAATCCTTTCTGAGATACGCATTTTTGATCACTGCTCCAGAACAAATGGACCTTTGGTGTGATCCAGTAGGCTCCTGCTATTATATTTCTGGGGATTTTCTTAGTGAACACTACCATTCTGTGAGCATTTGGATGAGTAACATTATTTATTGGATAAATCTTTGTAGAATCAGACCACAAATGATGACAGGGTAGAAAATAGGGTGAGCAGTATGGTGGGTAAATAAGTATTGAGGGGAAAGAGAGCACTGATTAAAAGAAACAAATAATGACTATCTGTAAGCTCACAAGCCTTCCCTGTTTCCTACATGACAGATGATAAATGTAGCTATTTTAATAAGACTTATAAAGTTTTAAGTTTAAAAGTTGGGTCTGATTCAAGGAATCATCTTAGCTGTGTTACCTGGTGTAGATTAAGCTGATCAGGGGAAAGTAGTTAATACTGGGACACCTGGAATGATAATAAATAAAAAAAAAAATCCAAGTTTGTCTGTTGGAAAACTGGTGCAATAGTATCAAATTCACCAGTTAGCTCCTATATATACATTTGCACATATATTAAAGGAATATAGAGAAATATATATCAAGAAATTAGCCTTTTTTTCAAGGGAAAAAAAAATACACTTTCCCCCCAAGACACTGGAATCTTAAACATGCCATGCTGTTTCAGTCACATGGGAACTTTCCAGGTTTCCCTCCTGCAGGTCCCTAAGGCCAACAGACCCATGAGTGGAGCCCACCTAAGTGTGGGAGATTTTGGACACCGGGCTTGTGGAGATGTGGCAGGGTCCCAGGATACCCCACAAACATCACCGGCTTCCTCTGAGGAGTTCAGCTCTCCCAGGCAAGATGACCAGGGCTACCTGGATTCCCTGGGAAATGTCCACCCATGCCAGAAAGGACAACATGCTTAGAAACCCAACAATCCCCCAGAAACTACTCCTAACCACTAAAAATAGGCACTAATGTCTCATAAAGAGATATAAAGCCTCATAAGGACTCTAAATTGATTTTTGTAAATTTTAGTTCCAAATCCTACTCCAGTAGGAGGGGACTGTGAAAAGCAAACATGTATTTCAGACAAAGCCACATATGAAATTTCTAAAGGTATCTAATCTTCCTTAGACTATCTTCAGCAACTTCTAAATCAAAAAAATATTTTAAAAGTAAGCTAAAAATAATCAAAGTATGCTGAAGTCAGACTTACCCCAGTCTTTATAGGATAAGAGCTGAAAGACAGTTCTCTAAAGCAAATACATTCTTTATTGATTTGTATTTTGCTGATGATTAACTTTGTGAACCATCTGACTCTGGTAAATAAATAGTATCTAAATCAGTGATGGGGTTTTCTTTTCAATATATCAAATTTTAAATATCAAATTTTATGTATGGTGCCAGACTAATAATCTACCTGAAACTCATAGAAAATGTTAAATTGTAGAAACAATTCTCTTACACCTAATAGAGTAATTAAATTTTCCATAACCACTCTATGAGAATCTGAACTTTGGCAAACCAGTGAATCATTGACACCAGTGGTATTTAAATTAAACAAAGCAACAAAACGGATAAAACATTTAATTTATGAATTACGGGTAATGGACAGTTTTTCTATGGAGCGATAAAATACGCTGGTCCCAAAGGGAACAACAGCACTTATCCTTAAAAAAGAAAATAACTGAATTTGCAGAATTGTACCTTTGCACTTTGCATAAACTCTTCCAAGTTTAGGGACAGCAAGATGTGCAGAAAGGCTGCACTGTCAGCTCACAACTGAGCAAGCAAGCGGAGTAGGTAGCGAATGGCAGGGAGGGACAGAGAGAGCACTTACTTTCTGTCAGAGCGCTGTCAGGCTGTCTCTCCCCCGTGGCCCAAGGCTCCAGGCTCGGAGCCAGCGCAGCGTCACAGCCAAAGAAGTGGAGCACCTCACCACATGGTTTTTAAACCTTGGATTTCCTTCTTACGGTGATTGCAAAACTTTCCCACAGTCAGCCGGCGGCACGGGAGCTGTGCAGAAGAAGGCAGGTCTGGTGCTGTCACTGCTCTGGCAGCCTACCTGCCTCCTGTGCCAGCCTCTCCCGGGTGGAACAACTTGTTTTCTTCACTCTTTCTT